ATAGGAAATATAGGATCCGATGAAGTACGTACGCATCCTCAGGCTCCAGAGTTTCTTGTTCATCTCAATATTCCATTCGTCCAAGGTTGATGGTCGACTTCAAGCTCGAATAACTCGGAATACGTTCGTCTACTTTGGTATGTTACTTACGCATAAATACTATTTTCTCCGTTTCTGACTCTCATCCAATACCAGCAGTCTTGTTCATCCCAATCCCTATCCAGGAGCCTACCCAGCCCGGTAGGTAACGAGGACAACGAACGTTATCCTCAAGGCCGATTGTGGTCCAGAACACAAAGCAAGTGGCGTGTTTCCATCGGGTATGATATCCTCGAAGGTACGCAGAAGGTAGCCATAGGTAGCCATGGGCCCATTGTACTTGAAGATACCGAGAAGGTACTCATTTAGTAACCATTGATCCTGTCATCGTACTAGATTGACGCGACGTCAAAGAAGTCTCTATCTAGGCTGGGTAAGCGAGTTTTCGCTCAAGCTCGTTTAGTAAGTTCTTCTGCGGCTCACTTGCCTGTATTGTAGGGCAGGGAAATCAAAACTCATCTCAACCCTATGAAAATTGAGATATATATGATCGTGTGTTCTGTCAAACTATCAACTAATTGATCATATATATCTTGTCTTCCTTTTCTAACTCGCCACTGGTATCAGCCCGACCTGAACAAATGTAAGTCTTTCCTCCGGTTCGGATCCGAAAAACGACGGGTGCTTCGAAACGATGGTGATGTTCCCTTTATCCCCCAAGCTCGTCACCAAATCTACCGAGACGCTTCGAGGCTTCTTGTGGTCCGTATCCATGATTAAGATATGCCGATGGCACTCCAGCACTGAGCCAAGATGGACGTCGAATTCGGCATAACCTGTTGTTTGTGTTATTTGCCTTCGTTCTTCTTCATCAAACTTCTCGCTGATTGTTTTTTATCCCTTAATATAGAGTACATTTCTGTTTCTACTTACGGAGATCTGTGAGAAATGATTGGCACGCCAGAGATGGGACGTCCCCACTGTTGGTCGTTTCCTAGATACGTTGATGATTTCTACCCTTTGTGCTCTAGAAAAGGTTTACACTCTGTTTGGGCATCTTTACCAGAACAAGGGTACAACCCATCATGCCTGTTTTATTATTCTGTTCTGTATTATTACCTCCTACGCCGAGCATCCGCAAGGCTATGGGTAAGGGCTTAGGCTGCTCAGAAAACTTCTACACGCAAAACATCTGGTTTTATGGCTTTTAAGAAGATCAATTAGGCTGATTCTCTTCTTCATTAAGGGGTACATGTGGAGAGAATACTAATACCTGTCATCTTTCTGCTTCGTTTCCCAATACACACATAGGACTCAAGGCTTCCGCGCCACGCGCCCTCGCGGGTGTCCTTCTTCTCTTTCCCGGCAAAACAATAACAACCAACTATAGATACTTGATTGATGAAAGTAATGAGCTGATTCGCATACTTAAATGGTCTTATGTCTGTACGATAGGACTAAATTTGGAGTAGCCATTTGAGCGCGCTTCGGGTTCTCTTTTCTTCTGAGCCGGTGGGAAGCCCGCAATACAAAGTTCGTATACCATCTGGAACCTGCACGGAGGTAGGTAAGTTCTTTATCCGTTATCTATTTTACCGCTTAAGTCCGAAAAAGTGACCTTTTATGATAGATCCCCCTCCTTAATGGGAAAGTGACTTAGGAAAGCAGCTGAAACCAGAACCCGAATGTACATCGGTCATATTGTCTAAGATCCGGATGTTGAGACGGCTATAATATCACCTTCGAATCCGATTGAGAGTACTTACTCTGATATAAGTAAGATGATACACTTCTTGCTCTTCCCCTCTTCTCAATACTTAGTACTATAAAGGCGGATTCAGTATCATCAAATCAATGTGCTGCTCGCGACCCTGAAAACCAAGAGATTTTCGGTTGACAGGATCCTGGAAAGCTGAAAACATGAGTAGATCATCATACACAAGCTTCTTTATCGCTCACCTCGGCCAACGCACCCTACTAAACACACCCTCAATTCGGAGAACAGATCGGGCATATCATGATGCTTTGACCAGTAGGTTAAGTATCTCAGTAGCTCGGTCGACACGAATGTTGCTCTTGTATACCCCAGATAACCATGATGTCACTATCCCATTAGGAGGAATTTTCGTGATCGTCGGGCTCCCTGGACAAATGCTGCCGAAACTTAAGTCTTAAGTACTTAATAAGTGTCAGGCTTTGCCGCTTCTCGAGCGATCCGAGGCTGAGCACTTATGTCCTATATGCCTCAAGCATACGCTTCTTCTCCCCTGTAATTGGGTAATAAAGTAATAATAGGGTTCGATATTCCTGACAGGCCTGAGCGAGATGTGTATGCAGTCAGCCGACTCCAACTCTCCGAGCGAACCGAAGGGAGTTGATCAGCCTGAAATTATAACTATGCCGTCGTTGCCATGATTTGATGCTCCTTTGAATCGCTATCAACCACCTTGTCCTCTACGTGATGCTATTGTTTTTCTGAAATCAGATCTGTCAACCCCTAACTGGCAACCTTATTCACGTTGCCGCCCAATGCTCTTCGTCTCACTGACCGGATCCACCTAAGATGATATATCATTTGCGACGTTTAATCATCCCTCATTTATTACTATAGGATCTACAATCCTTAATGTAAGCTCCATGTACCGGTCGCCTCAACCTCCGGTGGCACAACAGACGCTGTGAATCAACACATTTGTAGCAAACCCTAGGCACAGGGCCACGACTGTTATTCACGGATTTGTTTATAGCTAGCATGTACATAGATCGATGAAGCGATTAACGAATTGCAAACTAATCCATCACGGCTACCTGATGAGGAGCTCAACTTCGCGTGGGCGTACATGTATGCGACCCGGAATACAAGTTTAGACCAGGATGGTCATACGCAGTCCTAATTATTCTTTGCCCTTGTTTTTTATCTACTTGTTCCTGAGATGCTGACTCAAATTCCCGCAGAGTGGGTGTGAATATAAACGCCACGCCGCCCGACGAGCCTGCCATCGATAATTCCCCCAGGCGAATTCGACATCTGCCCGCGTGTGCAAACCTAAACCACGTATCCGACGCTATATCAATCACCGCGCGCGCGCTCGCGAAGAAACACGGTCCGCAGCCTTAATCTGCATTCACCATGTGTTCGAGACAGAGGTCGAACTTCGTACCGTGAAAGTGAGCCCTAGAACGGAGAAACGGCATGGCTCCCCTCCACCTCGCATGTTTGCCGCTTCCGGAGATAATTCACCGTTCCTCGGAAGCACCCACCTTTGGCATACGGTCTTCCTAGGCACCCGATGGTATAAAACGAGTAGACTCGCACGAGGACCTTTCTCCTACCATCAGGTGCACTGCCCCGCGTGGCTCATCCCCCACCCTAATCCCCGCTTCTCCTCCTTCCTCTCATCCAAGCTGTGCTCTTCTTCGTGCTGTGCACTCTACTCCCGTAGAGTACATTCAGGGCATGTTTAGGTCGAGCTTTAGATTGTCCGACGGATCAGAACTATGGGTATTCCATCGTCGTCTTACAGAGCGCTTTGCCGACACTGAACACAACGACGAAGGGATACCCAGGTCCTTGATCAGTCTGACATCTTGTTCGCCTTTCCATCGCCTTTCTTTTCTATTATTTCGTTGACCGCTCGTCTGCTTCGATCTCCTTCCACTGGGCGGGAACGATACCAGATAAGAGGTCAACAAATCCTTTTCATTATATTTTTCCGTTTTTTGTCCCTCTTCTACTCTACAATGATAGACATTCATCAAGCCCACCTCATACATCTTGTTCACAGATTAATCAATCCCCTATCCCGGTCCGCGGTCCCCAACAAAGGGCATAGCGTCATGCTGTGCGTGGTCGCACTAATTTCCGCATTAGACTCTTCGGAAACGACCTTCGACATGCTGTGCAGTTCCCAAAAACATGCTCTCGTGATTCTTGGCTCACTAAAACCGAAGGATTCTCTATGCTGTGCGTTCCCAAATCAGGCCGCGATCGCCTCTTCTCGATGCTGTGCTCATGCGAGCAACCCGTTTCCTGCCCTCATTCGCTAGTACGTACCGTTGCTTCTGTTGGCTTGAATGCCGGTCTATCCCTGCTAATGGGGTATATCTGTGTTGTTTTTATAGGCGAAGTTGCTTCCGTTATGGGATTATACGGGGAGCCGGGTGCAGTTGGCGGGTGAGGGACATATATAATGGTCCCTACCGCTGCATGGGAGGATATCGGTATATTTCACGCTCTTAGGAACGGTCATAAAGCTCTGGTTTGACCTTGGGATTTAGACACTATTGCATCTACTAGCCCATACGGGATGCTCCTGTCTTTCTTGTCTCCATCCTTCAGAGACAGAGAATGCAGCAGCTGTTCTCGCCTGGGCGTCGTATATGCATAGTAACGCATACCTGGTCTTTCGTTGTACTATGTATGCTTCATGAAATAAAAACGTTCTGTCAACAACTCATTTTTTCAATTATATATTGCCTTGTGTGTATATGCAAGCTTCCGCCCCACTGTAACGTTCCACCCCATGAGTATCCAACTTCGCGGCGAAAACGAAAGACAATTCATAAGATATGACAGCTATAAGAAATTATTCCTCGATAAGACAAGAAGGACGTGAAGGTACGCGTTTTCGTCGTTGCTCCGCTTACTCATATAATTGCTGTGCAGCAGGTGTATATGCGGGCAAGTGCTGACAAGTGTTCAGAACTTGCGATCTGGAGATCTTATCTATTTTTGGCTGGATTCAATATGTCAAAAGACCTAGGGATATAATTGATTGCTGAATATTCATTAATTCATTGTTCAAGATCGGGAGTGGTGTGCTGGCAAATCCCATAAAAGATAGGCAAAGCGGCTGGACGTGCATAATAACTGTTTATAACCATGTTACATAGATTTAATTAGTATTTCATGTTTAAATTACTCTCGAATATTTGCCAACAAGAGAGAGAGAAACAAAAAGGGGTTCGATTGGGAGTTGAACCCAGGACCTCTTACAAACGAGTACTATTTACCCAAAGCAGGAATCATAACCTCTAGACCATCAAGCCGTTACGCGAGTGCCGCTTACGTAAGCAGGTCAGGATCGCATCAGACGCCCATCATTCCCCACGAATCGAAAGTCAACCATGTCGCGCCGACGTTCTCACTTATTCTGCTCTTTTATCTCTTAAAGCTGCTTGATTCCACTTTCGGAAATAATCTCTTTCACATGTTACTTACTACTCCATGGTTCGTTCACTCAACAATTTACAAACGTTATCCTTCCGGGCAATTCGAACTTCGACGCAAAGCTAATCCTTCACCATACCCTGCGCATATCACGCAAGAGTGTAGCAATTTGGTAGCAACAATAATTAACTTCAACTAACGCTATTTATATGGAGCCTATAGCTGTTCCCCTTTATGGCAGTCAGGGTTATTATGGGAAGACATTCCTCATTGGCCTTAGATGTCACCATGATTATCGGATTTATCCCATTGATCAACCGCGTTCTCCAAGGAGAATATTGCAATACTCATAATATTCCTAGTCGAACATGTGATGACACCATTCGTCAAGTTGTTCTCGCGGCCGCCGTTGCGGTCTTCATCATATTTAAGCTCTCAGCTTTCTCCAATCCAACGTCAACAAATCCAGTTGATTGATTACTGTAACACATCGCTTAAAAATGTCGCCTCCTTCTACCGAAACTACCACAACCACCGAGGCCCCTCTTGTTGCTGCTGCTTCAAAATTAATTCTCAATAGCGACAAGCCGAAAGAAGCTGAACGTAATGAAGTACGTATAGGCTCTTACTTCCCTTTTTACAATGCTTATTTTCTCCATCAGGGCCCATCGTATCCCCTCTACCTACCTAATTACGACCTCACCGAGAAGTGGTCTCCACTAGAATACTTCGGTACGTGTCATGATAGCCTCATCATCCTCTCCTTTTAATCGTTATGATATCAGATCACGTCGATCCTGGATCACACGCTGATAAGGCTAAACCTAACCTATTGAAGAACGCAAGAACAAAGGATTTGAATCCTTATATCGGCAGTGTTGTCAAAGACATTCAACTCAGCCAGCTGACCAAGGAGGGTCTGGATGAGCTCGCCCTTTACGTCGCTGAGCGCAAAGTTGTCGTTTTCCGCGATCAAGACTTTAAGGATATTGGACCCGAGAGGCAGATAGAATTTGCAAAGTAAGCTATCTCTTTTAGGGAATTTTTTTCAGATGGGTTCTGAGTCAACGTATAGGCATTTCGGCCCAATTCACAGACACGCTACTACTGCAAATGTCAAGGGTTACCCCGAATTCCACATCGGTTAGTTATCCTATTATCGAATATGCGATAATGAACTTATAATCCTCGTTAGTATACCGTGATGAGGCGTACGATGAATTCAAGGAATATTATGGTGATAACCGCGCTAGCAAATTGACTTGGCATTCAGATATCGTACGTATTTACTCTGAACTGTCCAATCTTTCCTGAAATACTGAAATACTTCACAGACATGCGAGATTCAGCCTCCTGGGACGACGATATTCTTCATCCTTGTATGTCTTTACATTTTTAACGTGTTTTTATTATTATCTGACCAGTATTTGCTGCGCTAGGATCAACCATCCGTCGGCGGCGACACCCTCTTCATTAATCAAGTTGAGGCATATAACCGATTATCTCCCGAATTCAAGAAACGCCTCGAAGGCTTATCTGCCCTGCATTCTGGCGTCGCTCAAGCAGAGCAATCGCGTAAATACGGTGGCCCGGTCAGGCGTGAACCTACTGAGACTGAAGTACGTTTCACAATATTCTGAACGCCGAGGCTTGAACTTATTAAACTCTGCATCGTTTTAGCATCCTCTTGTCCGCGTGGTATACATCTTATGATTCTAAGCACGTTTGACTGTCAATTGATTTATCTCTTCTCAGCACCCTGTTACTGGCGAAAAGGCACTTTTCATCAACCCTGGCTTCACCAGGCGTATCGTCGGGTTCAAAGATGAAGAATCCAAACATCTTCTGGATTTCCTCTATGATCACATCACAAAGGTAAGTCGTCCCTTATTTATTAATTTTTATTCCAGTAATTATCGATATTAATGAACTATCGTCGAATCATTTTAGGGATCCGACTTCCAAGCTCGTGCCACCTATAAGCCTGGTACCGTTGTCCTCTGGGTTAGTATTTATAATATACTGCGTAATTATTCGGCTGTCTAATTGCGGCAATACTCAGGATAATCGTGTTACTCTTCACGCTGCCACTATCGACTTTAACCCTACTATGCGTCGGCATGCAGCACGTCTCACTCCATTGGCCGAAAAGCCTATTCCTGCTACTGCATAAATTGTAATTTATTATCCAATGTGTAAATAATGTGCCTATGAAACATGTAAGATATGTTGTAATTAGTTGTCAAGCCAGTTAACCTGAAAAAATGTGGTTGAATTTGTTTTCCGAGTCAGTCTCAGACGAAATCTCCTAGTACGGGAGTCAGTTAAAGTAAACAACTCAGATTCATTCTCTAATGACTTTGGACAAGAACATGCCATGTTCAGATATGCCATTATTTTTCGCATTAGCCCTCGTCGCCGCTATCGCACTAAAGTTGCGCTGATTTGGATGTACTAGTACCTGTCATCTTCGCTCGAAGCACCTTCTAGTCCTAATTATTTCAAACGCAATCCCTCCGTATGTGTCGATGGTTTTTAAACATATATGTTTAAAGAATTTGGGATTGCGATATATTAGCAACAATGATGAGTTGATGATGAGGTAAAAAAAAAAACATTAAAAATATTAATACAATATAATAATAGGACTCTAGATGTCTGCTTTTGATTCTATGAATATGATGATGCCCCGTGCAAATGAATTATTCAACCACATAGTCCATTTAGATGTGCAGCCTTCACCACCCTGCTAAGATAGCGCTGGATAACCCATTTGTTGTGTGAACTGCGTTGAGAGGTGCAGCGAGAGGTTCAAACATGGGCCGTAGCCAAGACCTCACATTGGTCCTAGATTGCCTGCTAAGGCTGCCGCTCCTTCCTCTGCCGGTAGAAAGCTGGCGCTGGCGTTCTTCAATCGCCTGTTGAGGAGATGCAATGCTTCGGCGCCGAGGAGGGACATATAGGTCGGCCTTGGCGCTGATGAGAGGTAGGATGGGTTGACTTTGAATCGTGCGAGAGTCCTTTCGTGATTCCGTTCGTGGTTGGGTAGCCTTGCTACTGGAAGCTTGTGAAGAATTCGAAGTTTGACGCTTGTTCTGCTTGGCAGATTTGCGTCTGGATGAGGAGTTGGACCCCGAAGCCTTCTCGTTGCGAGAGTAGTCTAGTGCTTTGTATGCCTCTAGTACACCGCGCCTTGATTCGCGCATAATTTCAGGAATGGAAACAAGAACGGATGTGAAAGCTGGCGAAACATTGGCGTTCGAAGATGGGGATGTTCCAATGGCTAAGAGGTCATCTCGTGTATAAACGATTGAAGATCCTATAATGGCAGATTAAGACTATATTGTAGGGAGATTTGTAGATGTACTTACGAGTAGAACCGCCCGAGCTTGCACTGGCATAGGACGACATTGAGTCCATTGAAAAGAATGACTCCGAAGAGGCATCCGAGCGGGTTGGAGAAGCTGAACGGTTTGCGTTTGACGATTGCATTGAAGGATGAGTAGGATGAGTTGGAAGATGTCCTTTGACTTGACTACTGTTGCAAGAGTAGTTTGTTGGTCATGTCCGGATGAGCTGCATGGCCTTTATAGGTGATGAGATGCGATGTGTAGCCTATCTGTCGACGCCGTGGCGTATTGATCTCCTGAGTCAGAATGGGATTACGAATGTTACGCATTAGGCAGTGTGATGTTTGCGCTGCCGTCTTAATGCGTTATCTCGGAGAAAAGATGCAGCAATGTGTTCTCCGTTCCGTGTCGGTGGTGGGGGTGGCGTAAGCGTAAGCAGCAGCTGCCGACCGGTCAACGGAGACGCGCGTTCCTGCGTTCCCGGACACGACGCTGGCCAAGGCCCTGACCAATTGATCTGGATGAGAAATCGCTCCGTAATGCACAGGTATAAAGCGAACAGAAATTTCGAGAAGATGCTAGAAGATGCAGAGCTGCCTGGCGTCGAACTTCAAGCAGGCGCATCTACTAGGACTAGCACCAAAAGACAATCTCTCAGGCTGGGAATCCGACGGAAAGTCGTATCTTTCTGGTTTCATTGAGAGTTGCGCGACGATCGATATCAACTGTAGGCAGGTTGGGATTAGGTTGGGATGGAGGCCCAACAACGCCAAACAAAGCAATTTACCGACCTGATACAGGACACAAAAGCTTCAAGAGTTTCATTGAAAAAGTGACGTCCACATTCTATACATAGGTACAAGAAGCTCTGTCCTACTCGAACAGCCTGGATCCTGAAAACAACAGTGAGGACCAGCAACGCTGGACGGTAGTCGCGTGACAGCCGATTTAGGCGCCAGCTAATAGCTGATGGCAAATCGTCGTTTTTGTGCTCTGAAGCTCCCTGCGGTATCCTCTGAGCTCTAAAAATCGATCAAAAAAATCTATACTATCATTTATCCTACATCTACACTTGTAAACCCATAAATAACACGCCTTCGAAGGTCCTTGAGGCCTGATTTACCTCTCACGCGCGTCCGTCCTATTATGTAAGCTATTTCGATTGAAGAATCTGTAAGGGCAAGGGGAGGACACAGAAATTCGTACACTTCAATATCGACGATAGCAAAGGGCTAAAAATTAATATACTGTATATACAAACAAAGTAACCAGAGTAGAATTGCGAACTGAGCTCTTTAAAACTGACCTCCCTTACAGATCTCACCCATTTTACATGCAATTCACAATCCCTCTGGGGAACATATTTAAATCAAATTAATGAAATATAATTTCATTAATGTGCGAAGAACATTCCTGCTGTTCTTGAACTTATGTGGTTCCAAAGAGGGTCGTTTTGACGTATGGGAAAAGTCACGTCGGAGTTCGGAATTACTATGCTGGTCCCCAACAACAGGTGCATCATGCAATGA